CATATAGTATTCCTTAATGAACTGACTATATAACTCAGGAAGCGAGTGAAGAACCAAGTCAACAACCAGCTCCTTTGGGAAAATGACACCCAACATTCCCAATCTGTCAATGTGTGACTTCATGTTTAGAACATGTGCACACATAAAATTTCCATCTAGGTGTTTGCATGCCAACATGGCTTGAGTAACTTGAACTTCTCAAGTTGAAGAAAACGTAGGTCGGGGAGAATCGCTGGAGGAGGTGGAGAAGAGTTGGAGAAGCATGACTTCCAATTCTAAAATTTGAAGAATGGAACATTGTTTCACGTTGATCAACTTGTGGAAGATCATCTTCAGATTGAGAAGGAAAACCATTTCCAAAAGGATGAGAAAGACCATTGATTTCTGAACTCAACATCTATAAAGGGAGAATAGAGAATTCATGTTAGTTGATTTTAATCCTTAATTATCAACCCAAAAATTCAAATCAAGGCTAGGATCCATATTTTCGATTCGAATTCTAAAAAGGGATATCGTAATGAAATTCGAATCTATTTTAGGAAGGTAAGCATTTACCAGTTTCAATCTAATGAACCTCCTAGATCTTTTGAGATTCATTGAAGTATTCAATGGCATGTTTAATCTCGATTATGCTCTCACTTTTGTGACCGGCATGTCGAGGATTACAAACGAGATGTGAATAACCATGCAAATTATCTTGGTACCGTTGATGTCATTTATCATCCAATTAACGAGTCAGTTAACCACACACGTTCCATTGATTAATGATAATTTACAAGACACCCATTGCCAACAATATTAGTCCATATTAGTGTGCCGGTGAACCACACATGCTCCACTAACAACCAATAAGGTGCAATGTGCAATTCATGGGTTAGCATCAAATTCACATTTTTCCTAAGTAACTAAGAATGGGATTTTAGAAAATGGTTTAGTTACTTTAGTTATACTTTTAATGAGATTTTAGTGTCCTATCATTCCTCTTCGGCTAACGACCCTCTACTAGTCAAGAGAGCAGTAGGTAAGAGTGGATACCCAATGGCGGTCATTTTATAAGTCACTTCATTAAGCTCCCCTTATAGATCAGCTTCGTGAATGAGACCTACTAACGGTAAGACTGATATTTTCTTATATATAAAAATATTAACTTTTAATTTTACAATATATATATATATATATATATATATATATATATATATATATATATATATATATATATATATGAGGGTGTATTTTAAACTTTTAAAATACTAGGGGTTTAATCTTTTAATAAATTAAACATTAAATTAAATTAAATTTAAATCTTTTGTAGATTTATTAATTATCTTTTAATTAAACATTTAATTAAATTATTAATAACATCCATAAGGATGTACTTTAAACCTTTTTAAATAGTAGGGTTCTAGAATTTAAGATTTCAAAATTAAACTATTTAATTAAATTTTAAATTCCGAAGATATGGGGTATTTTTAAAACTTTTCAAAAAAACTAGGTTAATTTTTAATAATTAAATTAATCATTAATTTTATCTTTATCAAAAATTAAACCAAATCATTAAATTTGATAAGGATATACAATTACCTTTAATAAAAATTCAATTTTTGGTAGAAAAATGAATTAAGGTAATAATGCTAATCAAGCCAAGATAATCAAAATCAAAAAATCAGGGATCTGACAGACCAACTCGTCGAGTCTGAGCAATACACTTGTCGAGTTGGGCCAACTCATCGAGTTATAAACATGTAGTCGTCGAGTTCTATGAACATAATGATGATTCTGCTCCCTTATCCTTTGAACGATTCACAATTGCATCAATTTTAACTGAAAAACATCCTAGTCTCTGATACCATTGATGGGTATTGAGCATAACTATGTATCCTATGTGTTCATGCAACCCTAAATTTTGGATTTAGGTTTTCACTAGTTGAACATGCAAACATGAATAAAAAAGAGAAACCCTAATATGCATCTATATAATTCAAAATTAACCTAGATATGGGGTTTAGATACATACCTCAATTGGTATATAGTAATAACAATTGATCCTTGTTGATTCCTGTACTCTGAAAGCAAGTACCTAAAATGTGACACCTTTAATGGTTTTCAAACACTCTTTGCAAGAGGATGAGAATGAGAAAGGATGAGGCACACCATATTTTCGGCTCCACTAGGGTTCTTTCGAGATTATCCGAAAATCACAAGGCTAAGCCTCCTTATATACCGCAGGTTGCTTAGTCCCAAAGCCAGGGTGTGCAGGTGGAAACACTATTTCCCTGCTTAAGGCCTAAGAAGCCTATGGACTCCTCAATAGAAGGCCTTAGATGAAAACTTATATGGCCACCCTATAATTTTCTTCCACTCTTATCCAAGGGGTCTAAGAGCCCAGTTTCACAACTATCAATGGTTTTCAAAATAGCCCATGTACTTTTAATTAATTCCTTTAATCCCGAAAGTAATTCCAAATTAATTTATGATTAAATATTAATTAAACAACATGATTTCCAATTAATATATTATTTTCATAACATATTAATAACTCATTCATATCAATTTATTATTCCAAATAATAAATTCAACTTCTCTCTAAAAGTCATCCTATCAACTTGCAATAATGAAGGAAACCAAAAGAACTTTTGCTTCTATCAATTCAAGTATATACCAATAATAGTTATGAGCTTAGATACCTAATCCAACACTAACATGCCAAAGAAAAATATCTAAAACTGAGCTTAAAAGTTGAGAGAGAATTGACAGATGGTGTGAAGGTGAAATGTGGCCTAAAGGGGGCATTTATAGTTGAAATTCAAGGAGGCGTGTCGTGCACAAACCAGGCGCGCACCGCACCCTGGCTCTAGTCGGCTACCCTCCTTAAAACACGTCTTTTTTCTGTTGGTGCCATGTGGTTGGTTCTAGAAGTGCGTGTGTTGTGCATATGTTCGTGACGCGTCCACTAGAAACCTCAAAATTTCGTATCTTCTTCATATAAATTCCGTTTTTTAGGTTCTTTGTATCTACATGTAGCTATGCACAATATCCGTAACTTTGGTTTAGACTACGTTGGCTATTTCTAACTTTATTTTTATAGTTATATTTTTAATAGACTTAGATTGTTAAAGCCCATATAAAAATCATAACTCTCTTATACGACATCTGTTCTCAACTATCTTTATATCGACGGAATTGTATCTACGAGATCTTCAACTCTCATTTAGATTGTTTTGGCTAACAATCAATCGATCTTGATTTCGGTTTCTGTGTCATGCACTATTATACCATAACTTCTAAAAATCTTAGCTTCCTCATATGAAGTCAGATTTGGAGGTTCTTTATATGCACACTCTCTGTTTTACATCTACTAAAACTCTCATTTAGATTTCTTAGGCTAATAAGCAACCTATCTTAAATTTACTTTTTATGATACGCAAAGTTGTTTTTGGTTTAATTGCGAAACTTCGAAAAGCATAACTGCTCCATACAGAGTCAATTTTAAGTTTTCTATATATATCTATGGAAATCGTATCGACGTTTCCTACGTGCTTATGATGATTACTTTGGCCTAAAAGTAATATATTTCTATTTCAAATTTTATAAACGACGGTTTATATTGAATCCTACCAAAAGGTGAAAAATAAGGTGTAACACTATAAGTTCTCAAAGGGAGGCTTGATAGTTGATGGAGAATGAAATGATCCAAGCAAGGAGTTCTTTGTATGTATCCACCCAATAAGTCACCAAAGCCACTATTAGTCATTCACTTGTGTGGACTTGATCTTAAGCCTTTAAGTCTTATAGAAAATAAGCCTTTTTAAGAAGAACAAACTCAAACACCAAAAACTATCAAAAAACTTTGCAAGGGGATGGAGAGAAAGGGAAAAGGTGTTCCCGACTTTTACATAAAAATAAGGTAGAAAAAATTACTAGTTTTCATCCTCTCTCTTCCTTAGATACTATTACATATAAATAAAATCTCATACTTTTATTTATTAAGTTTATGACTTGCAATCAACTTATGGTATGAGAAGTAAAGTCAAAGAAGTAACAACTAACCATAACATGTACTTATGGATAGTTTTCATGAGAGAAACAAGAGTGAGTGGAATCCACATCACCTCTATTATTACATGTACATAACATGTTGGAATGGTCTACTACAAGTCCAAATTATTCTACATAACATTTAAATCATACCATGTTATTAAATGTAACTACTTTTGATACATTTAATTATTAATTTCTCAAAAACAATAATTTCCCAATTAAGTATAAATGATCATTTAATATAGTAATAATCATATTACTTAATAAATAAACAATTAGTGTTTACTTGTTATATGGTGTGACCCTATAGGATGATATGTTATTAGAAAATATAATTTGATAATAATCCTTGAGCATAAAGATCTTTCAACAGAGTACTTAACAACAATGATAGTCGAGGCAGAAGCCCTAGAATTACACACATGGTGTACAATCCAGAAGAAACCAAAAACGAAACCCTAGATTTGACACTATCAATAACAAATCTATATGGTTGAAGCAAGGAAAAAAATAATCGATATGAAAAAAAACATAAGGGAAAAATATTTTAACCTTTGTTATGATTTGATACCATGAAAAGAAACTATAAATTCAAGAGCTTTTCAACATGATACGTTTATTCATTATAAACCGGATCGTTTGTACACACTACTTTTACAAAAGCAAGCTCACTATAATTAAACACTCACACTCAAAGATAAGAATGTAATATCAAGAAGAGACCAAACATTAAATACACAAGAAATACTAAACTAGAACTAGAGAGATTACAAAATATCTTAGATGAAAATGAGAGCATAATCGTCCAAATGAAAGTTGCACCACACTTTTATACTCTGGTCAAAGGATGACCCATGGATCAACTCACGGATTGACATATCCGCGTGTAAACCCAAATCGTGAAAAGAAAGATACACAATACACTGGCAACAGTATTATATACATATATTAAAACCTAACACGTCTGTGAATAGTAAACTTCACGACTTTCAGATTTTCATCACGTCCTTTTGAACATATTTACTCTTTCGTCCTTCTATGTTTTCACCATTTTACTTCCCAATCCAAAATCCCACCGCCATCACTTTTCAAATTCTTTGGACTCTTTTCTTCGACTCCGACTCTTTTGGTTTGAGTTTCCGACAACATCCCATCCAAGAATTAGTATTTCGCTGTCTGTGGTCAACAACCGTCTGCATTTTATTACTGCCACCAAAATGTTCGCCACCAACCGCCTGTGCTCTGTTGCTATTTGGTTTGCATGCCGTTACCAAAAATCGATGCATTACCACTTGGCTATACTCCATATGGCCTGGGTATGTTGTATATTGTTTCCATTTCACTATGATATTTTGTTCAATTGCTCTTCCTTCTGGTATTTTGTGTGATGTCTTCAACTCTATGGGTTTGACGTTTCCTCCAATCTTTCTAAATTTGTGCAAAAATATCAATAAATGGTGGTTGTTGTCAAGAATACGAAGATGCATCGGATTTACTTCCGCCGGAGATGCCGTTGTCGGTGAAAATTTACATGGAGCGGTGGAGATGTTGGACAATTTTAATTCCTGTTAAGCAAAATTGGGGAACCAATATAACCGTAACTGCAATGAAGATAAGGAATTATTCGATAAAGGCGAAATTGATTGTCTATTTTTCCCAAGAACAATGATGCATAACAATTTTCAAATAAAAGCATATGTCCACTAGAATTTTCATGAACACTCTTGAAAATTACTCTCGATTTTAAATATTCCTTATTAGATGCCTAATTGTTTACACAGATTTTTGGAGTTGAAGACTTCGGTTCTTCATGTGAGCCCTAATATTTTATAATCTGTTGCTTTTGTTGTTCATGATTTAGGGATTGGGAGATGGTTTGCTCTGTTGGTGTTTTCGATGCCCTCTCCACTGCCATCAGATTGTTTTTGGTTGTTATCGAAGAAATCATAAATTGAAGATTTCTTTGTTTGTTATTTAACAAACTAGAAATTAAAGATGTGGTGAAGGTGCTTTAGTCTTTGAATCCAAATCCAAGCCCAACTTGAAGTTTTTAATATCAAGTCTATGAAAATTGGCGGTTGGGTTGATGTTGGATGCTTCAGGATCGAGAAGAAAGAAATTGAGATTAACAGATTTGATCAGTTTGGGAGATTTCTTGAAAATTATTGATATTGTTAAAGGTATTTCCTATGATCTTACTCTCCACAACCACGTATAGCTATTGTATTCTTTTGTTTATCCATATTGCGGATTTGTTTTAATTCCATTTTATCTTGTATTTTTTATTTTTATATTAACACTCACCTGAAAGTAGTTTATCAGATGTAATATTTTCCATGGTTTTTCCCTGAGTATTCTTCTGAAAATTTGATCTAGTGGCAATAGGTCTTCCTGGTGACAATGGATTCAGGCGGCAATGGGTGGTGTTTTTGGTGGTGACGGTGGAGGTATTAGGTTGATGGGTTGTGGTGGTAGAAGGTGGGAATGGTGGAGATGGTGAAAGTGGATGAATGCATTGAATTGGAATGGAGACGAACTTAGGGAAAAATGCACTAATTTTCTCAAACTCTAAAGAAGAAGAAGTTGACAGTGAATACAAAATTGAGGTACACGCTACTTTATTAAGCTATTATGTTGTGGATTTATTCCCTGTTTTCAGCAAATAACATATGGTTTGGAGATCTTTGACATCAAGAAATGCAAAGGGATGCCCTTTTCATACTTGTGCATAATATTAGGTTTTATAGACTGAAAAAAAAAAAAAAAAAAAAAAAAAAGACAAATGGGGTATAGTGGTATACAGAATCTTGAAGCCATTGTGTATTATAAATTCATTTCGTCCTCCTTCGGATATCAAAACCAAAAATCATCACCACAGATTCTACTTCAGGTGATTCAGGGTAATTACTGACTTTTTTTTACTAAATGTACATCCTTCATCTAAGCTTTACTCAAAAAGGGGTATTCGTGTTTTTTATTATGATTAAATTAGAAGCAAAAAGTGGTTCCTTTTACATTCATTCTCTTGATTATCTGTCAAGTCACCTTCCTTAATGGACTGGTATTTAATTTGAAGATGAAAGTTTGATAACAGTATGAATAAATTAAGTTCATGTGTGATTTTATCAATTCAAATTTCTAATATTTTAAAATACAAGTACTTTGATGTTTATCTTCATATTTTAGTCAAGGGTTATTTTTGTCAATTAGTATGCTTTTTTTTAACTAATTAGCTTGCTTATTTTACTAAAAGGGTATTTTTTGTCAATTACACCAATCACATCAAAGCTTGTAACAAGTATTGTCTAAGTTGCATGACAGTTTAAGGTTGAATGAAGGTGATAATAACAATTTACACCAACTTCACATTATGCTACTAGATTTGTATTGTTTTCTTATTTTATTTTGTGTTAGTAAGATTAAGTTTTGAATTTTAACTAACAGGAAAAGAATGAAAGTTTTTTGTCTACTCTTGGAACTGAAACTCGAAGTCCAACTACAGAGTTGGAAGATAAGGACTATGATCAATAAGCTACAAAGGGTTTTATTTGTTGTTACTTTTGCTTCTCTATGATATATGTTTTAATATAGAACATTTCATTATAATTGTACTATTATGCAATGTTTCCTATGTGGCTCTTGATATGTTTTCGTATAGAAGCATCTTTTATTCATATTATTGAATGGCTTACTATTTTTTTTGATTGAATTTTAAGGTGTGGTCATGGTACCTCTGATGTTTCTACACAAACACCGAATGAGTAAAATTCATAAAAAGTGTCATCCAAATACTCATCGTTGTTACATAAGTCTATTTATTTATTTCTTTACTTGCATGTTATGTATTTGGGTTTGATTTATTAACATTTAAGATAGTTCCCAGCTAGATAAGGAATTGAGCCTTTTACTTTATTTATGTAAAGTTGTAAACAGATTAAGAGCCATAATGGGAAGTACATTAACCAAATACTAGAGTTCCATTTATTGTTTCTCAATGTATGCTTCATGATGGATGGTAATAATTTTTCTTAATTTTATTGCTGGAAAATTTGTGGTATAGTTTTGTTATAATTAAAAAAGTGATGGATTTTGTTCATTATTAACTGAAAAATAGATAGCTAACCATCATGTGTGTATGCACATCACTATTAAAGTGTATTCATACGTGTGTCCGTTTGTTGTCATTAGTTATTATTATAAAGAAATGAAAGTAAGTTGCAATAACAATCTTGGTAACAATATGGGCTTAACAACAACACCATCTTCAAAATAGAAAAAACGGGACCCGTGGTCACGGGTTTACCTACTAGTTGATAATTACATTTCCTAGTTGATAATTACATTTCCTACGTTTTTATCCAAGAATCATTTTTCCAACAAATACAAATACTATTTTTAGATTTAATGTTTAGTTTGCTAAAGATTTTATTCTTTCAACGATCATTTTAATTTTTAATTTAGAAAAGCAAGAATTTTGTAAATTAATTAGAAAAACAAAATTTTGTAGTCGCGTTTTTTAAACTTTGGAACGACATACGTACATATACAAATCATCAATACGATATAAAAGTAAAAAAAATAATAATAATAATAAAAAGGAAAAAAACCAAAAAGAAAAAAAAAAATGTAAAACAACCTCATGTGCAATTGAATATTTAAATCGTGGTAGAAAAAACATTGATATAAATAATATATGCAGTAATTATGTTCCGATGAAGCAAAAGCGTGGGGCCAAAGATTGAAGCCATGCGTATTTTTCTAGTCTGGTCCTCCCTGCCTCCATTACCGCTAACAATTCTTTTTATAAATAGCAATTTTAGACACGATGGGTTGATATTAATTTTTTATTTGTTTTATTTTTCATGAATAATTAATGGCAAATATGTTAATATTTAATATACTATAATATAAAATGGAGTTAATTAGTACACAATACTTTTTTTTTTCATATACAATAATTTATGTTTTAAAATATCATGCTATATAATTCTATAAAATATAAATTGTTTTGTATAAAAAATAATTGTTGTAGCATTTAATAAAAACTAAGAAAGAATCTTGCGTTGCACGGTTGGTTACACAAATCAATAAAAATGTTAAGTCGTCAACGTGATTCAATTCATTGGTTGGTTTTGCATTGTAAGTTTATAATATCAGTTTTTATTTTGAGTTTGTAACAGTAACAGTAACAAACATAATCTATAAAATGTAAATCTAAATCCATATATAAAATCAGTCTAATCAGTAATTACTAATCAATTACTAATCAGCCCTACATCAAAACCTCAAACCGTTGACAACATGCACTTCATGTGAATTCTGAAGAGACCCCAACTGGAAAATCACCTAACACCAAAATGTATCACAAGAAAAAAACAACTTAATATCATCTAACTAATGTAGCTTAACATAAATCTCATAAACATACATTGATATGCATAATGTGGATGGAATAGTATAGAATGCAAGTGCAGTATAAACGCCAATGAAATATCAAATTCATCTACACCTAAAAAATAAAAAAGCAATCAAAAGAAAGAAAGTGTTCATGTTCATGGGTATTTTGGTAATTTATCTGGTTTGAAGCACAACAAAAAAGTTTTCAGTTGAGTAAAATAGAGTGAGAGAAAAAATAGTGTCTTTAATATATACGTGTCTAACTGCAATGAGGTATTTGGGCCACCTGTTACAACGCCATATTTTTTTACCTATATACCCCAAGAAGCATAATTGAAATAAAAATCAAACAATAACTCATATATTATAATCAACCTCAGACTTGGATACTCAGATTTATATTCAAATCTGCAGACTTCAAGATTCAAACATTGAAGTTGGTTTGCTATATTCACAATTAACCGGATAAAGATGTCAATAATCTTTCAAATGATTAAACTCATAGAGTATACTAGTTTGGTTATATGGTAATTAAATTTGTAAACAACAAATAGTTGGATGATGGATTTCAACCTAAAGCCCTTCAACGAAAAACCAAAAAAATATTCATACCTTTTTGATACAGGAGGAACATTGAATATTGAAAACTTGTCCATCTCACGAAAAGTTGTAACTTTCATATTAGTGGTTACTAGGTGTGAAACTCGTGTATTACACGGGTTGATTAAAAAAGTTAAATATAAGGTGTAGATATTAAGTATTTTCTAAAGTAAAACTTTTAAATAAATATAAATGAAATGATAAATAAGTAATTCAATCCATACTAATAAAAAGTTATTATCATGTTTTAAAAAATCATGCTGAATATGAATGTGTAAAAACTAAGTATTTTAAATGTAAACTTTCGAAATAAATACAATAAATAGAATAAACCACGATGACCATTTATGTAATTTGTCTTAATTAATCTATACTAATAAAACTAACCAATATAAATTCACAAATGTAATTCATTAAATAGAAATAAGAATTCATAAATGGAAGGTTTACTATATACATTAATTCACATCAATTAATATGAGGTGACATCTAACAAGTGGAAGTTAAATAAAATGAAAAAAATACAAAATAACAAGTGGAAAAAAAAATAATTTTAAAATTCTAAGAAAATGACATGTGTCAAATTCAATAAGAAGTTGACATTTGGCAAAATTATATTTATTTATTAGGGTATATATCCTTGAAATTCTAGTTGTATAAGTGACAGGTAACATAACATCAAAAGCAAGTATAGCAGTAGGAACAAATATCTTCAATCTGCATAGAATTATTGATACTAATAAGTGAAAAAGAACCAATGAATTGCAAGCTCCCTTTCCTCCTCAACATCAACCGTCAGTTCATCAATTTTTTTAGTCTTCCCTAGTAATATCTCAATCTAAACAAAAACCAACTACAGATTATTAAATTTTATTTTATGTCCCTAGGTATTGTTGGTTTTGCAATCGTAGGCACAAAAAGTTCTCTCATGCAATTTTGGTCCTTGTTTAAGGTTTTTGTAACATTCTTGGTCCCTATTCCAAGTAAAACGATTATATTTTTGGGACCAGAATTGGTAAAGTTAGATATACTCATCAGAAAAACATTACAAGAACTTCAAATAAGGACTAAAATTTCAAAAAATCAACAATACTTGAGGACCTAAATGTTAACCACAATTATTTACGAATAATGGTTTCAATAACTTGTTCTATATCTTTAAGGTTCATGTAATTAGCACGTCTTTTTATCATTGCAATAATATACTCTTTTCGTTCTTTATATCTCATCAAAATTTTATATTGAGTTTCTGATATTTTTTCGAATATTTTTTAAACATCATTTATCGAAGCAACACATTAAGGAAAAAAGAAAAACAATTACCTTTGCTTTTCTGATGGGTCTTCCTTTAGATTCATCTTTCATGTCAACAATGGATGTCATAATATCTGTAGTGTTTTAAAAAAGAAAAGCATTAATATAAAACAATAGATACATGCAGCATTAGAGAGATAACCGAATAACGATGCACTAAAAACAGTAATCCATCCTTACTTTTGTCAACAACAAATCCACTGTTCTTGAGAATTTCTGCAATTGTGACAATTGTGGCAATAGCTGCAAGAATAACCAAAAAGAACTCATCATAATCATAAATGTGGTTTAACTCTACAAAAGAAGAAGCCATCTATTTGTAAACTTCATTTAAATACTATCTAATGATCAATTCCATTAAATTTGGTGGTTGATTGCTTATCAATCTTGACTTGCCTTCACAATCCATACTCACATTAATAAAATCCCAAAATCTGATACATAAATCTAACTTACTATCTTTACCATCTTTTACAAAACAAAATTTTCATGATTCAAAAATAATCTTTAAACCTAAAGGGTTCTAGGATTTATAGTACGCAAATACTCAACATATAGGCAATTTTTTTTCTAGAGTTGTATCTTTAAT